AGTCTGCCGTTAGTCCAAAATAATTTGCCATATCTTTGCTCCGCATCTGATCCACTGTTGCGGCGGATACTCGCAAATACTTCCGATATATTGGCATCTTTTCGACTGCAAGTGATATCCGGAAGATTACCATTGGTTTGATGGCACACACAGGGATACACTATGTGTTTGTCCGGACAGACAGTTAACACGATGGCCACAAACTCACACAAAAGTACTAAACAAATAAATGCATAAACTTTAAGTTAACTATTACAGACTTAACTAGATAATCTTTGTAACTTACTTAAAACAAGCATTTAATTGAATTTTTGAGTAATTTAATTAATTATTTAGAAAATGAATACAATGCTAATAATTTTGTAGTCTTAAAGACAAGAATTAGTAATAAAATAATATGAAAAACTTAGAAACAAGTATCGAGCTATAAATCTTTTTTAATCATTTAGCCATTTATAGATAAGTAAGCCAGGGATCAAATATACTAACAGGTGAAGTGAAACTTGATCACACTATAATACCCCTGCCAACATAATCTATAGTCTCATTATAGAATATTCCTAACAGTTCAATAAAAATTGCATTGAAAATGTATAAGAATACAGAATATTCAGTACAGTTATGATACAGTACTACTATTTGACTACTGTATGACTACCTCTACTTTACTGTCGGAATAATTGCATTGTTCGTGAAAGTGAATGCTTAGTGTAGTGTTTGTGCGGTAGAGAGCGCTGTAAGGGTTTGGTAGTTATGATTGGTTTCACTGAAAACATTGTCACTGTTTTGGCGGCAAAAGCATTGATTGGCTTTCACTCAGTCTATGACACACTATAGCACTGAAAGCCTTTCAATGGGTGAGTGACTGAGTGTCTGTCAACACATCACCACTGCATCCACTGTCACCACAACTGATCCAGACATGGATGTCGACCAAATCAGACACGTGTTCGACAATTCACAGCATTTGCATAAAATGCAGAAATGCGTGTTTGTCTACTTTCTGTACATAGTTGTTATACACTCAGTATCTGTGATAACAGAATGGTAATCAAATGGCTAGCCTAACAGAAAGTAGCTACAGAATCAGCAGTAGGCTACTGCTCAACTACCGTAAGAAGCGGGAACTCCGGAGAGACATATTGTTTACATTGAATTGCGACCCAAAGAGTCCGTACACTAAACACAGCATTGAGTTCATCGCAAACTTCTTGCGATCGTTTTGCGCCACAAAAGAAGACACGAATGCCAACAGCAATGACACCAACGACGAGACGATCATCGATGAGGACACGGCCGCTGCCGAAGACACCACCAATCGCTCCGATCAGGAGAACAAAGAGCCGACCGATGAGTGCGACGACGAGTTAGGGATGGAGTCGTTGGGCAGTGAGTCCTTCAGTCGCAAAGACCAGTCGACGGCCTCCACAGCGATGGACAGCACGTCGCTTATCAAAGACGAGCCCACTTTCGCGGATATCGTAATCAAAGAGCAATTGATTGGATTCCTGTTGAACGCAAAGCCACACATTCGCTACAACTGTTGTCTTCTCATCAGAAAACTGTTCACTGATTTAGAAGACATGGATTTGGATGTGTATGAGAAGCTCAAGAAGGTATGTGTCCATTGCCTCATGTGTTTGGCTTTCATGGTATCTAAACATGAATTTTGGTTTTTTAGTCATTATTAGATAGACTTAGAGATAAGGATAAGACGATCAGAAGTGCGGCCGCACTGGCACTGCATCGCTTCCAAGAGGCGGACAAACGCTCAGATCTGGTGAGCGATGCCCTCAAGTTTCACTTGAGAACAGATCCAGACTTTCGAGTCCGTCAGTCATGTCTTCAATCGCTTCAACCGTCTGTCGCCTCAATCGATGAGTTCATTAACTCCACGCGTGATGTCAAAGACATTATCAGAAAAACAGGTATTTTATGAGAAGTTTTTATTTTTGAAATTCAATTTTTTAAAGTTTTGTGTGAATTTCTACAGCTTTTACATTAATTGCCGACAAATTCGATATAAAGAACTTCGGAATTGATAAGAGACTTGAGATCCTGAAGAATGGACTCAATGAGAGACACATCGCCGTCAAGAAAGTGGTCGAAATAAAACTGTTGCCCAATTGGGTGAAGTCATACAACGGAGACTTTGTGGCGCTTCTGTACGCGTTGGACATCCAATCGGATCCACTGCTCGTCGAAAGAATGCTTTACTTATACTTCGATCACATCCGCAAAGACGTGAACCAAAGCACCGGACGGACGGGATTTCATAAGTTTTTGGACGATTTCAGGGATAGGTTAAACCTCTGGAAATTACACAATTGGTTTCTTCTAAACTGCCGTCTCTTACGGAAGAACACCGCTTAACACCGGTTCATAACGTTTCTCTTCCTCTATTGGCAGTGAGACCAACAGTTGTTACTATTAGAAGGCTCTGAAGAGATGCCTAACTCGCAGCCCAACACTCATGAAGAGACTGTTGATGCCATTGATCTCATTGTTCCTGATTTACCGCATTATTGCCATTATATTAACGTGTAAGCAGTTTAAGCGTTTGATTTGTTTTAATATATAAAACTGAATTAATTTGATTATTAACAGTTTTGTTAAACAAATTCTGGTGAGAGAGTATGGACTGCACGACTTAATGGAGTTTGAATTTATGTTCAATCAATTACTTTCAATGGGAGAACTCATTGATATTGGAGATGAAGTCCAGAGGTTTGTACACTTATTTGTAATTTGAATACATTTTATAAGAATTGGCATATATTTCAGGCAAATAATCCGCAAATGTATGATTGATGTACTGGCAAATGAAGAGTTGTTCCATCGGATCCACGACTATGTCTCGCATTTGATGAAAATATTCTCACAAAACACAGAATTAAACACTTTTTTAGAGAAAACAGTTGATATGATTGATGCCATAAATTCCAAGTCTATTGTAGCGGAGGAGCCGCCGCCACCGCCTCCCTCACAGCCATCTCAAGAGGTGGAGACGAACCCAGAAGTGATTGCGGAACAGATGAGACAAATGGAGATGGAATACGCGAAACTCAGTGTCAGAATAGAGTCATTGAGGGACGACATGGAGGCGCCCGAATGCGGAGAATCCGAGGCCAATCGCATTCAGGAACTTATCGGTGAACTGTCCGATAAAATGAAGGACATTATGGAGAGACGACTTCGCATGAACACCAGTCAACTCATGCCTCCCTCACAGCAATCCTCACAACTCTCGCAAATTGAACCCAAAACTCAAAAGACTTTAAGTGTAAGTGTTTTTGGAGATTCTGTTGAATACTGTATTAAATTTAATTGAAATGTTGTTTTGTATGACAGGAGGATCCCATAACTCTCGAACGATGCCTTCAAATATTCAGCGGTTGCCTTCAATTTGGAGATTTTAAAACTGTTAATCCAATGATACTGACACTCATTGAGAAAATGGTAAATGTTTTGTTTTAAATTGTTTTTTTCTAATTAATATAATAATGTTTTAATTAATAACCTTTTAGGTGATCCCATGTATCCCAGTATCTGAGATAAAAGTGAGGAATATTGCAGTCAAGAGTTTAGGCCTTTCATGCCTTATATCACAAGAATTGGCCAAAAAATATTTCGCACTCTTTGTTCAGGTATTGAATACTTTTTATTTGACTTGTTTTATAGGTTTTATGCAATTTATGTCATTTGCTACTATTTTTGTTTTGATTAATAGGTGCTTAATTTTGACTCAGACTTACCTCAAGAAACAGCATTGAAGTGTATTTTTGATATATTATGTATTCACGGATTGAGTTGTTTTGATCACAAGTCGAGAAACAAGAGTATGAATAAAAGTAAAAGCAATACAATGCTAACGGATGACAACGAGAATGACAAAGAGAACCAAAGTATTAATAATAACAGCCGAAGAAGTGTTGCAAATGATGGCACAGAAGACATGGATGAAGACAACGACCGGACGATTATCGATGAATCGGATGCGGAGGACGTGTTGTGCAGTGAATCCGAAGGCCAAAACTCTGATGACGAAGACGAGGACAGTTTCCTGAGTTTGTTCATTGATTTGTTAGAAAAACACTTGAACTCAGAATTGGATGCAATTAAGTTGATTACAGCCCAAGGAATTGGAAAACTATTTATTTTGGGTATTATTTGCTACCAAATGATTAGAAACTGTAATTAATTACATTGTATACTAACCGATAGGACGTATGTATTCACCGCAACTGTTATCTAAACTGATAATCCTTTGGTACGATCCGGACTCGAGCGAAGAGTTGCGCCAATTTTTGGGCGTATTTTTGCCGATATATTCGGGCGTTAATATGAAGGCTAACCTCAAAGGAGAGAATGCTTTCGAAGAGTGTTTTATCAAAACTGTCGAAACCGTGTATAACGAGGCACTGAATTATGTCAATTTGGATAATATGATTAACTTTGTGTTGGAACTCATGTCAGATGAGGGCCACAACGTTTTGGCTAAATCTGTTGCCAATCAGTCAGTATTTTCTGCTTTTTCAGTCAATCATTTTGTACTCATTTATGTGTTTCAATAGAATAATCACCCGAATCGGTGCCAATGGTTTGGATGACACCCTTTGCAACAAATATTATTTAAGAGTCCTATCAGTGCTGCGTTTGACTGAAATGACAAAACACGACATCAAAGAGTATAAACTGTTGATTAAGAAGATTGAAAGAGCGCTCAACAAACAGAAAGTGAAGACCAAACTAACAGTTAATAGATTGCAGACAATCAAACTTAAGATTGAAAAGCAAATCGATGTCATAAAACACAACACATCGCAAGTGTCCATAATTGAAGACTTTGGCTCTGTTTCCCTTTCGCAGAGTATGTCTCAAAGTTTTAGCGAACGCTCACAAGTGGACGAAACAGTCCTCGAAACGTAACTTAAGTCACAACTCATTTGTATATCAAAAGCCAATTTAGGTTTTCTCATAAACCGGTATTTTTCAGTTACTTTTCATACCATTCATTTCTTAACACAATGTATTTTTCACTTATAAAATATTTTACAAGAATTTCCAAAAGTATTTTATACTGTAGTAAATAGTTTGAACACATTTTTATCCACTTTTAATACTTAATTTGGATCTAACATTATGTTGTCATTTACTGTACTTTAGTATATGAAAGTTTTGTTCACTTTTTAAGTAAAGTCTTTCTATTTGTGTATTTATTTATTGTATACTGTATTCACACATTATTTTACACTTAATTTTATTGACATAAGAATTGCTTTACAATTTAAGTGGTTTGTGAAGATTTTTATGATATTTTTCGATGTAATAAAATATATAAAAATTTTACTATTCATGTGAAGCATCGCTAGTTTGTTGATTTGGTTGGCAGTCGACAGTTCCTCTGTTGAACTTTTTGCAGTCTTTCGCCTCAATAAGCTTCTGAATGGCTGTGAATCCCAATTGCAAGACCGACAGGTCTATAGGTTTGCATTCTTTCGACACGTAATCAGTCAGACAGCCTTTCCATTCAATTAGAAATATTTCACAATTAGTACTGTATTACAGTATAATTCATAGCACTATAGCATTATATTTATAATTGCATTACACATGAAATCCCAGAGCGCTTTGCAATCGTTTGAACCTAATTTGTCTGACGAGACATCGATGGCATACCTGTTGGCCGCCCTCTCAACACAAGCGCCTAATACTGGTCTCAATTTTTCGCGACAATTTGCGGCCATTTTTGACAAACGATCCGCCAGTACATCCTCATTGATGCCAAACAAACTGCCTTTTAATTCATAAGCATTTGATTACATAAAAGTGGATTCAATTTACTTTCTACTAGATTCAATTACCGTAATTTGCAAGACCATTTTTCGAGACATCTAAGAATTGAATAATTACTGAATCTATTGGACATATATTATTAATACTGACCGTTCGAGACATCAGGTTCATTTTCTGTTGTAACAAATGGTAGTTTAAACAAACTTTATAATGAGATATGGATTATATAAGTTTTCAATACCATAATTAGGTCCCAGATATGCGTCTACTTTATTACTGTTATCCTTAAACATAATGCCTTTCGGATGACTTTGTTTTGGATTAATATACCAGTGACTGAACCTGTTGTCCACGTTATGCATACAGTCTCGGAATCCTTCGTTATATCCATATCTGTATTCACTACTAAAGCAATTCACTGAACCTAACAATAGGATGACTGCAAACTTTAGAATTAATAATTTAAACATAATTCTTATATTTCTAAATGTTTTCAATTTGATTGCCAATTAATAAGCAATAAATGGGTAACACAGATGGCAACTTTATTTTTAATTAGAATAATTTGTTACATTTATTTTATTTACCGACAATTCAGTAATTTATAAATAGATATCCTAATTACTAGTTATCAAGGGACGAATGTACTCTGGCGTGCAAAATGGTCACATATTCGACTGGCCTACTATTTTTAACCTCCACTTTGCCTATAGCTCTGACCACTTCAATGCCTTTAACCACTCTCCCAAACACTGTGTGTTTGCCATCGAGATGTGGAGTGGCTGTTAATGTTATGAAGAATTGACTGCCATTAGTATCGGGACCCTTGTTGGCCATACTTAGGATGCCTTCGCTGTCGTGTTTTAGTTTGGGTGAGAATTCGTCCTTAAATTCGTCTCCGTATATAGACTTGCCTCCCCTCCCAGTCCCATGGGGGTCCCCGCCCTGTATCATAAAATCATCGATTACTCTGTGGAATATAGTGTTGTCGTAATATTTATTCTTCGAGTGTTGGGCAAAGTTTTTGCACGTCTTTGGCGTCTCCGACCAGAACAGCTCTAAAGTGATGTCTCCTTTGTTTGTCTCTAAAGTCACGTATTTGTCTTCAGTCGCTTGTGTCGACTCGAGAAATGATAGGATTAATAGAAATACTGGTAATACAAATAATATGCTTTTATTCCCGTTTAAATTCATAATTGATTTTACAAAACACTATCAATTAGTAGTAATACAGTACTTGTGCCACGCATTCAATGCATTCAAAGAAAGTGTTATAATTAATTGAAACTTAATCACTTAATTATAAGTAATGTATTTTGCTTGAATTTTCATCTAATATGTTTTGAAATGAATTCATTGTTAATTTAAAGAATGCCTTCACCTATAAGTTCTGGTTATATGACCAAGATTAAAGAGTAATGCTGTAATTCTGATTAAAAACTAACTCGTACTGTAAGTACAGTAAGTTATAGTGTATTAGACAATGAGATGAGTACAGGGAGAGTGTGCGAACTCCACAGCAAAACCTTTGGGGGTAGTCTTGATGTCTGTGAATGTCGTGGACTGAGTCCAAGTGGATGAATGGAAATGAATGACTTGATGTGAATTAGTCGCTACTATTCAATCGGAAATGCATTTATAATAATTAAACTTTTAATATGTTTTAAAAGCGACTCACTTATGATAGGAGTGACCAATGGCTCCAAATCATAGGAACATATCCTATTAGACCCGGGATATGTAATCCAATAGTGATCTGATTGGCAAACGCTATCTCTCCGGGATGTCCGGCGCGGATAGAAAGCCGCCCGCGCTCTCAGTGGTAACAGTGCTTCCGATGTGTCAAAGAAGGGAACCGGCATTCGGTCGGGAGTGTCGCCAACCAGTATGGGTTCAGTCAAAGGACGTGCTTCCGACTGAACTAATGTCGCGATTCTGTCGACTAATGCCGAGTCAGTAGTGTTTGTGCTATTGTTGGCTATGCTTTCAGAGGTATTATTGGATTTGTTTTGTGATTCTTGTGCTGATGTTAGAGTCAAATAACACATATTCTTTGGTTTCCGAATACATATCGAGTAATCGATGTCTGGATTGAAATGAAATAATAACTCATTTGATATTAAAGAGTAATTACTAGTAGTTAAGTTAGTTAGGTCATTTATACAATACTTTGCAAATAATGTTTTCCTTCCAAATTAAATGTTTGTATTAGCCCTCTATTCGTGCTGTAGTATTGAAGGCATCCCTGAGGGGCTGACATACCATAAAGTTTGATATTTTAGATAAAAGCAATAAAAGACAGAGAATTTGAGTGAAACCTAAGGATTCCTGTGGCAAAGAGCAGGGAAGTTGTGTTATCTTTATTTTCCACTTTCTATCCATTTGTCGAATTCCTGTCAATACAGTGAATGCAATGACATTACTGTCCGATTCATCCACTGGTACATACACTTTATAAACAGACAAAAGATTTATTAATTGATTGTTTTAATTATTTTGAAACAAGTTACTCTGATACATACTGTGCTGTCCATTGTTTGTACCACACAATACAGGGATGGGTTGATTGCGATTGGATTGGGTCACCACAAACAGATCCTCCTTACAGTTGGACTCACTATTAATTGATCCAAAATTGATTTCTCTTAACTCTGGCTTGAATTCAATTGGGTTTGCGATTTCAAAGTCAATCAAATCTACTCGATATTGACAGACCTATACATCAATTATAATTCACTAAATTAATACAATTAAGTTGATCATATTTTACGATAAAAATAAATACATTTGAGTGTAATTTTGCCACTTTTAGAGTACAACTGAACGGTTCATTAAAGCCTTTCGGATGGTTTGGATTTAAGAAATAAGAAATGTTTGTATGTGTTGTCTCTCCACAACTATTCTCAACTGTTGGACAAAGTTTTGTAATTTTAGGACAAATACAATTGTATAGAAATATCAGACTTACAGACACAACAAACTCCATGTCCATCACCGCATTGACCCATTTGTTTGCCGTTGTGTTGAACACATTCTTCGGGTGTAAAACAGGTGCCAAAAGTGGTCTCATTTGTGCCAACTTTTGCTTAGACTTACAGACACAACAAACTCCATGTCCATCACCGCATTGACCCATTTGTTTGCCGTTGTGTTGAACACATTCTTCGGGTGTAAAACAGGTGCCAAAAGTGGTCTCATTTGTGCCAACTTTTGCTTCGCATTCGTTGTGTTCAACTGTCACTGAACTGAACAGTGAGAATGGATTGAGTGCTAAACCATTGCAAACATTAAAACAAATTCAGTGAAACTTTTATTTATCTTCATTAAGCAATCAATCATTGCTTACCTCTAAACCCTCGATTACTTTCTGTTGAATAAACATTTGTTATAAGAGTAATAACAATACAAATTAAAACTAATTTATATAGCATATTAACTGTTAAACAATTGATTTCAGTGACAAGTTTGAAGGTTTTTATTTTAAAATATTCAAGAATGAGCTCTAAAAGTGTTTCAAACTTTTGAAGGGTTCACTCTTTTTGTGAAAAAGTTAGGCTAATAATTGAGTGATCTTTATCAGTAGACATTGTGGCCACTCTAATGGTCAGTTGATATACTGAATACCGTATAAGTAGTGACCTTCACCTTCACCACAGAACTTGTTTTAAAACATATTATTGTATTTCAATCAATTATCGTAAGAATTTAATGGTGAACATAAAACATAATTTTAATAAAATCAGTAACGTTTATTAGCAAATATTTATAAAATTATACTAAAAATCATCTAATTATTAAGATTGAATGAAATTGAGGTAAATACTAAAAGTTTGTAATTCATTTAGATCAATTTAAAAGTTGATATAGTTAGTTTACAATAAATGCTAATAAAAAGTACATTTGTGATAAAATTGAATTTTAAAATCTGTGATAGAATACTATCATTAGGGATACAATGAACATATAGTCGACAGAATTGATTAGTGCACTATTCGTGATTTGTTTTGGTTTGTGGTTATCGTGTGAGCCCTAATTAAACAAATGTCATGTAATTAATTAATTGTAAACTAATATGCAATAATTAACAAACCCTTTGGTGGTTAGAGTGGGAGTCATCATCGATGGTGTTTCCTTTGATCTCTTCATAAGAAGTTAAAACAATGACATCAGATGAGTGATTGATCCAAAAAGTCTTGACATCCTTTACTACAGTTCCCACAAACTTAATGGCAGTTCCTTTGGTTAAGTCTGAAGGCGCCTTCCACTGGACGGACACACTCTGCTTGACATCTTTGTCCGAATGTGTTATCGTATTCTGAATACTACATCCTTTACTACAGTTCCCACAAACTTAATGGCAGTTCCTTTGGTTAAGTCTGAAGGCGCCTTCCACTGGACGGACACACTCTGCTTGACATCTTTGTCCGAATGTGTTATCGTATTCTGAATACAATTTGTAAAAATACAGAATATCTGTACTTAACATACAGTACTTATATAACTTTTATTAAATCTTACGTTTCGACCGCCAGAGCAATGGATAGTATGGATATGTTGTCTGTCCTGCTCCTGAACCGAGAACTGTCCGATCACTTCATTAGATTGGTTTACATTGTGGGCCTGTATTGCGAATCCTCGGAAAGGCGTGTTTTGATGGCTTTCGATGATGAGCTCAATCATTGAGCCATTGGTTTGGTGTGCAGTCAATACGTACGGAGACTTCGAGGTTTGTGGCGCTACGCCATGTCTGGGCACCAGACCTTCGCACACAGCCTCGGGGGCACCGGTCGGGTAACATTTAATCACTTTTACTAACATTATGCTAATTATAATGAGAATACTTGTCTTCACAGGAAAATACATTATTTTGAATGTGTTTTGAATGTAATTTAAGAAAATATAAGATATAATGAAAATACAAAACTGAATCTCAACTCTCGATTTGATGAACAAATTCTACACAACTTATGGTTTGTATGAAATGAATAGTTATTCAAAGGAAGTGGAAGTTTGTTCAAAATTGTAAAAGACTTTTACTGATATCAAATCTATTAACACAATGACTTTAGAGACGATTTCCTACAAAATCATTGCTGTATTTTGTGACTGAATTTGAAACACTGTTATTCGCAATAATCTTTAAAATATACAAAAAGTCAAATGAATGATAAGTCGGATAAGCAATAGATTTGCACTCATTTCCCATCAATACTTCACTCGACTTCCTATTAATAATCACTTTTTGCAGTAAAACTTAAATATTAAAAGCAAATAAGTGTCAAAACATATTGAGCACATAAAACTGTGTCATTAATATTTGCACTCATTTCCCATCAATACTTCACTCGACTTCCTATTAATAATCACTTTTTGCAGTAAAACTTAAATATTAAAAGCAAATAAGTGTCAAAACATATTGAGCACATAAAACTGTGTCATTAATACAATACAATACAGTAAATTAACTCACTTATCACTACAATGTAATTTAGAAATTAATAAAATGTTTTATTAAAAGGTCAATATAAAATAATTCATAATAGCCTAACTATTAGACTCTTATAAAAAATGTTAAAATATTAAATGATTATGTCTTTAATCTCAGACAAAAATAATGATAATATACTGAAAAATGAGAATTTAATGCTACAATTTGGAAATACAGTATTCATTTACATTGTAAATTTTATAACTTGTAAATTACAAGTAATTTTAAATAGGATTAGAGTTTATTTGAAATTGATGTGAAGACTAGTGAACACAAAAATAAGTCAAATATTGAAAAATAGCAAGAATTTAGGAAATAATAGACCGAAAATGAATGCATGAATAATGAAAGACATTAATCTGATTGGCTTTCACTAGAATTGGATCCGTCGGATGAATCGGTGTCCGATTCACTGGAATCACTGGAATCGCTCTCATCTTCGAACAAATCTTGAGTATAGTAGAGGACAGCGTATGGGACGACGCGCTTCACAACGAGTAGTCCTAAATCCCAGTCCTCTTCCAAATGGTCTTCAATGTCTTCGACTTTTGGATCTCCTTTCGACGGCTTCTTCAGAAGCGAATCGTCAAAGAAGTCGAAGAATGAGTTTAGTTTCACCACTTTTTTGGCCGTTTTCTTTTGAGTGACATTTTGGCCGTCTTTCCAATCGATGCGACAGCCCTTCCGTCCGATCGGGTAATAGTCGTCTCGACTCCACGGCGACTGAGGATTGGGTCCGAACTCAATGTCATAGGTTTTGGTGAGCAATGAGTTCGAGAAGTACTCATTGCTTCCGAAACTGAATTTAATGACAATTTGTGGCGAATTTTCATCAAACGAGACCTCAATGTCTTGCAAGTGGTTGAGTACGTCCTCGTCTTTGGGTGCAATCCAATCGTTTATTTCTGCGAACGATTGCAAGACTTTCAGCCAAAAGCCCGGAACACCTCTGATGTTGGGATCAGTCGCCGACTTCGGCGGTAAACTCTCTGCCAGTCCTTTCATTGAGCCGAAGC